CGTTGGTGGGTGGAAGTGGCGGTGGGCGGGGCGGGGCGCAGTGCGGTGGTGGCTGGCGGATGGGCGCGCGAGAAAGATGCCCGCTTTGGGGCGAGAACGCCATCCTGAACGACGGAGGCAAAATATTGATCCGAAAATGAGGCCCACGCTGCAGCGGGAACACGATTCGGAACGAGCGGAAGGCCGAAAATGAGGCCGGCGCCTCAGCGAGAGCAGCATTTTGAAAAAAACCAAGCGAAAACCCAACTCCGGGAAATCCTGTGTGTAAAAAAGCAGTACGCGAAGGGGTGCCCGCCATCTTCCGCACGCCATCAGTGGAAGGAGGATAGTGTATTCATATAGAGTAATGGTGGAGGAGGAGGAGGAAGAGGAGGAGAAGGAGGAGGAGGAGGAGGAGGAGGAGGAGGAGGAGGAGGAGGAGGAGAGAGGAGGAGGAGGAAGAGGAGGAGGAGGAGGAGGAGGAGGAGAAGAGAGAGGAGGAGGAGGGGAGGAGGAGGAGGAGGAGGAGGAGCAGGAAGAGGAGGAGGAGGGAAAGGAGGAGGAGGAGGAGGAGGAGGAGGAGGAGGAGGAGGAGGAGGAGGAGGAGGAAGAGGATCAGCAGCAGCAGCAGCGGCAGCAGAAGGCGAGAGCAGAAAACCACGGAGGGGCATGCATGGCCAGCAGGGAGGCCCTGGTTTACGGAGTTCTTCGTCGACCTCGAGTGCCCTGGTGGGTGGGGGGGGGCCACCAACCGCCAGGAGGAGGATCAGGAGGAGGAGGAGGAGGAGGAGGAGGAGGAGGAGGAGGAGGAGGAGGAGGAGGAGGAGGAGGAGGAGGAGTGGGGTCCAGAGTAGACGCAGGATTCAACAACGATCGTGCAATACACCTTCCCACCCCATGTCCCGTCCTCATCAGTTCCAGCAAGGTTTCCATTTCCCTTCGGGGTGCGCCCTCCAAATGTGAGCGCGACATTCGACGCCCGTTTTCAACAGGACTCCGCCTCCATCCTGATGGCTGTCAGAAGCGTCAAGAGATAGGATTATAAGGTTCAAGAAAGATGAAGATTTAGCTAGAGCACCACTGTGAAAAGGAGCCGCCCGCCATCCGTGTGATGTCGCGCAGTTTTGATTCCTAATGGCCATCGGCCCATCCCGCCGCGCGCGGCGGCGCCGACGGCTGTGCGCCCAAGCACGTTGCGAGACTGCCCACCTCCTGGTTCGGCCTCTTGGCGAGGGTCTGGAATGCCGTGCTGGCTGGGGCGCCAGTGCCACGGTCGTGGGCCCAGGTGCGCGTGGCCCTGTTTCCCAAGCGCGGCGGCACGGGCAATTACAGACCGATCGGCATCGCAAGCGGTGCCTGGAGATTGGGAATGACCGACATCGTCGCCATCTTACGCCACTGGGTCGGCTGGTGGCTTGACCCCAACATCAGCTCCGGCCCGAGCGGGGATCCGGCAGAGTTGGTCGAGGCTCTCTGCGGCGACTGGCGACAGGTGCGCGGTCCGCAGCCCCCGAAGAGCCGCGAGGTATCGGCTGGGTGTCTTTACAACTCCACTCCGCTGGGCCTCCCAGGAGCCCACGAAAGTGGCGAGCCCCAGTGCCGCCGCCCGCATGCGTCCCGCACACCAAATTCGGCACACCCCTCACACGTTTCGCGTCTCCACCGAAGGCCCCAGTGCCGCCGCCCGCATGCGTCCCGCACACCCACTTCGGCACACCCCTCACATGTTTCGTGGCCCCATAGGGAGCTCCACCGAAGGCCCCAGTGCCGCCGCCCGCATGCGTCCCGCACACCCACTTCGGCACACCCCTCACACGTTTCGTGGCCCCATAGGGAGCTCCACCGAAGGCCCCAGTGCCGCCGCCCGCATGCGTCCCGCACACCCAATTCGGCACACCCCTCACACGTGACGCGGCCCCATAGGCAGCTCCACCAAAGGCCCCAGTGTCGCCGGCCGCATGCGTCCCGAACGCCCAATTCGGCACACCCCTCACACGTGACGCGGCCCCATAGGGAGCCCCACCGAATGCCCCAGTGTCGCCGCCCGCATGCGTCCCGCACACCCAATTCGGCACACCCACACGTTTCGTGGCCCCATAGGGAGCTCTGCCGCCGCCCGCATGCGCTCCTTACACCCAAGTCGGCACATTTCTCACACGTTTCGTGGTCCCACCGGGAGCTCCACCGAAGGCTCCAGTTCCGCCGCCCGCATGCGTCCCGCACACCCAATTCGGCCACCGAAGGCCCCAGTGCCGCCGCCCCCATGCGTCCCGCACACCCAGGTCGGCACACCCCTCACAAGTTTCGTGGCCCCATAGGGGGCTGCACCGAAGGCCCCAGCGCCGCCGCCCGCATGCGCCCCGCACACCTAATTCGGCACACCCCTCGCACGTTTCGTGGACGACTTGACGCGCCACGACGACAGCCGCCTCACGGGGGACCTCGCGGGCCCGCTGGTGTTTATCGAGCCCCGCACGTCGGAGCCGTTCACCTTCCGCACCTCCAAGGTCACCCGGACGGGCTTCTTGTTCTCGCGCGGCAGGGCGATCACCGCGGCGGCGTGCCAGGGGCGCTCCATGCGAGAAGGCGACGGGGCGAGGGAAGGGCGCTCCGGGGACGGCCAGACCTCCAGGGCGCGAGCAGTCCGCAGCCAGACCTCGGTCCTGTGGACTCTCGCCCTGGGCCGTCGGCTGCCCGGCGCGCCGCTCCCTCGGCCGGCGTCGCCCAGGCGCGATCCTGGATTGTGGCCGTCACGAGGTCGGGAACGGCAAGAAGGAGGACGACGACTGGCGGCTGGAGCTCTACGCGCTGCTCTCGCGCGCCACGCGCCACGAGGGCCCGCTCACGCGGGCGCCGCGCATCGAGTTCTTCCGGGCCGGGCCGCCGGCGGGCTTGTGGAAGCAGCTGGAGCAGTTTGCGGCGCGCACGAAGCGGCGCAGGAGGGAAGCTACGGCCCTCGCCAGGGAGCTCGGTTTCATCGAGTTTATCCGCGAGGGCTGACCAGAGGAGCGGCCCGTCCCAGCGGCGCCCTCTCTTGGCTGTCCGACCGTCTGGCCTTGCGTCGCGGACGAGCCGCGCATGTCGCTGAGACCCTCTCGGGGAGACCAGCGCGCGCCGCGCGAACTCCGCGCTGCGCTCTGCCCAGTGCCGCCTCGCTCGCCCCTCGTCGCTCCGCCCAGCGGCCGGAGCCGCGCGCGCTATCAGTTAGCCTGCAAGCACTCTCTGCTCCGCGCAGCGGACGAACTGCGCGCGTCACTGCGACCCTGTCATGGCGAACTGCGCGCGTCGTGGGGGCCCCGCGTAGCGCGGCGCCCGCAGCCTTAAATTTTGGAGTGCGCGGGCGAAGAGGAAGGAGAAGAAGGGGGGGGGAAGCGGGCGCGATCCTCGCGCGGGGCGCGCCGACATGGGCGTCGCGGCGCGCGGGCGCTGCCGTCGGGGTTCCCAGGGGAACTCTTTGCGGGGGCTACGCTCAGTGTCGCGAGTTCTCAGAGTCAGGCAAACCCAAACCATTCGCAGTCGCGTGCGTTTACATTAGGCGACTCCACACTCGCAGTCATGCAAAAAGAATCAATCGCATGCGTATTCATTCGGAACCAGACTCGCTCGCGCTTAGACTCGCCCGCGCTCAAGCTTTCACACTCAGACCTGTCGTTTTCGTTCATGTTGTGTACCCTATCGCACAATTCGTCGCGCCCCTCATACGGTTCGTGACCCCACAGGGAGCACCACCGAAGAATATATTCACAATTGCGGTATTCACAATTGCGCGCGGTCGGGTCTTTCGCCGGGCTAATTTCCCAACCGTCCTGTGGTGCTGGGTCCTCGTTTTGACGAGACAGCGCCCCGCGTTCCTCACTCCCTCCCTCCTCCCCCTCCTCCCCCTCTTCCTTCTCTTCCTCCTCCTCCTCCTCCTCCTCCCTGCGTTTCACCCACCCAGTGCAACGTTTCGTGGCCCCACAGGGAGTTCCACCGAAGGCGCCAGTGCCACCGTCCGCGTGCGTCCCGAAATACCCAATTTGGCATTTTCACCCGCCCACTGCAGCGCTTCGTGGCCCCATAGGGCGCTCCACCGAAGGCGCCAGTGCCACCGTCCGCACGCGTCCTGAAACATCCATTTCGTATTTTCACCCACCCAGTACAGCGCTTCGTGGCCCCATTGGGAGTTCCACCGAAGGCCCCATTGCCACCGTCCGCACGCGTCCTGAAACATCTAATTTGGCATTTTCATTTTCCCAGTACAGAATTTCGTGGCCCATAGGGAGCTCCACCGAAAGCCCCAATACCGCCGTCCACATGCGTCCCGAAACATCCAATTTGGCATTTCCACCCACCCAGTACAACGCTTCGTGGTCCCAGAGGGAGCTCCACCGAAGCCAGCAGTGGGACCGCCCGCATGCGTCCCACACACCCAATTTGGTATTTTCACCCACCCAGTACAGCGTCCCGTGCCACATAGGGAGCTCCACCGACGGCCCCAGTGCTACCGCCCGCATGCGTTCCCCCCACCCAGTGCAGCGCTTCGTGGCCCCATAGGGATCTTCACCGAAGAAGATTTTCACAATTGCGGTACCCACAGTTGGATATGGTTGGGCCCTTCGCCAGGATACTTTTAGTATATATTTCAGTGCCCCTCTGTTCGGCCACGCGCAGAGGGGGTAGGAGGAAGGGGAAGGCGTCATAGAAGAAATCTTTCTTCTTAGGAGGCGCGCGCCTTGTTTGTAGATGTAGGGCCGGCGCCTTCTACGAAGCAGCCTCCTTCTAAGAAGCCTCCCCCCCTCCCCCCACTCCCAAGTGTGCGCCGCCAATCATCCCTCGTTGTAGCCATCTTGGCTCAGGCACCACACTCGCTTCAGTTCCATGTGAGGCTGGGGCCTCCCCCCGCGCATCGTGCCTCTATGCGCATCCATGCTGTGCTTCTCCTGTCCCGCCTGGCACTTCTGAGCACCACCCCACCGTCTGTCGCCGCAGCCACGGAACGGCTACGTGCCGACCCCGCCGCCATGCAGCTCGCGTCGAAGGAGGACTGGCGCAGACTACGTGCAGACGAGCCGCCACGAGCCCAAGGTCCCGAAGGGAAGGGGCCCGCCAAGAGCTGTTTCGCCGCCGTCCGCCTCCGAATGCCCGTCCCGGGACCGTCAAAGACTTCCCTCGGCACGGAATCGGGAGACAGACAATGATGTGAGCACACCAGCTCGGAGGTCCGCTCGGATTCCTCGCATCGGCGCTGGGGCCCCCTGGCGGCGCTTCTGGCGCCGCCCCTGGCGCGCTCTGCGCGCCAGGGAGGTGGGGCCAGCGCCGATCCGAGGAATGCGCGCGAACCTCAGATTTTTCCCAACCATCCTGTGGTGTTGGGTCCTCCAGCGCCCCGCGTTCCTCCTCTCCTCTCCTCTCCTCCTTCCTCCTCCTCCTCCCCCTCCTCCTCCTCCTCCCTCCTTCGTAGTTCGCGTGCGTCTCTCCCGCCCACTACAGCGTTTCGTGGACCCAGAAGGAGCTCCACCGAAGGTCCCAGTGGCGCAGTCCGCATGCGTCCCCCCCACCCAGTACAGCGTTTCGTAGCCCCAGAGAGAGCTCCACCAAGGTCCCAGTGGCGCAGTCCGCATGCGGTTCCCCCACCCAGTACAGCGTTTCGTGGCCCCGAAGGGAGCTCCACCGAAGGTCCCAGTGGCGCAGTCAGCATGCGGTTGCCCCACACAGTACAGCGCTTCATGGCCTCATAGAGAGCTCCACCGAAGGTCCCAGTGGCGCAGTCCGCATGCGTCCCCCCCACCCAGTACAGCGTTTCGTTGCCCCAGGAGGAGCTTCACCGAAGGTCTCAGTGGCGCAGGCCGCATGCGGTTGCCCCGTCCCAGGACAGCGTTTCGTGGCCCCATAGGGGGAGCTCCACCGAAGGTCCCAGTGGCGCAGTCCGTATGCGGTTCCCCCGCCCAGTACAGCGCTTCGTGGCCCCAGAGGGAGCTCCACCGAAGGTCCCAGTGGCGCAGTCCGTATGCGGTTCCCCCGCCCAGTACAGCGCTTCGTGGCCCAAGAGGGAGCTCCACCGAAGGTCCCAGTGACGCAGTCCGCATGCGGTTCCCCCGTTCCAGGACAGCATTTTGTGGCCCCGGAGGGAGCTCCACCGAAGGTTCCAGTGGCGCAGTTCGCATGTGCCCCCACCGCCCACAGCCCAGTACAACGCTTCGTGGCCCCGAAGGGAGCTCCACCGAAGGTCCCAGTGGCGCAGTCCGCATGCGTTCCCCCCACCCAGTACAGCGTTTCGTTGCCCCAGGAGGAGCTTCACCGAAGGTCTCAGTGGCGCAGGCCGCATGCGGTTGCCCCGTCCCGGGACAGCGTTTCGTGGCCCCAGAGGGAGCTCCACCGAAGGCCCCAGTGGCGGAACTCGCATGCAGTTGCCCCGTCCCAGGACAGCGTTTCGTGGCCCCATATGGAGCTCCAGCGAGGGTCCCAGTGGCGGAACTCGCATGCGCTTCCCCCGCCCAGTACAGCGTTTCGTGACCCCAGAGGGAGCTCCACGGAAGACGATGCCCACATCTGGGATAGTCACAAGTGCATAATGGTTGGGTTCTTCGCAAGGTTTTTTTTTTTTTTTTTTTGTTTTCTGTCATGGACTGTCCCCCTGTGGAAAGCCAGTATGGGAAATAGCTGGGGCGTCCAGGACCCGCTCCCGCCGGGACTCTTGTGGCTTGTGGCAGAGAAGAGAAACATGTCATCCAGGGAGGAAGATGCTTCTGATAGCCTGCCCAGGCGATCCTCGAGCGGGCCCCAGCAGCGCTCTGGGCAGCCCGTGCAGATCGTCTACGACCACCCGTGGCACTGGGGGGCGTACGGCACCACCGCCTGTCCGACGCTGCACGATCTGGAGCTCAGCGAAGACGAGTGCAGGTCCATCGCGTCGATGGACATGAACTCAGACAGGAGCCTGGCAGTGCACGTCGGTAACCCGTGGCCCGTCAGCAGCGCCACGATACCGAAGGGCTGCACCGAGAGGATCGGGGACGCTGTCCCGCCGCTGATGTATTACAACGCGCACCCCGAGGGCGCTGCCCATCCCTCGCACAGGCCAGTGTGCAAGGAGGCAGGCTACAGCCTGCACGTCGGGGGGTGCCCCGCCGGCTTCGTCGGGCTGGAGCGCGCCGAGTGCCAGGCCGCGTGCTCGAGCTTCAAGTGGCTGGCCGCGCCCACGCTCACACTCTCCGACGCGCGCCTGCCGAAGGGCTGCTTCGGCAAGGCTGGGCACTGCCACTACAATGCGCACGCGAAGGGCACGCGCGGCGAGCCCGACACGTTCAGCGTCTGCCTGGCCGGGAACACATCCGCAGCCGGTGGCGGTGGGAGGTCCGCGGCGCGAGCTCTTCCCGAGGGGCAGGCCCGCCGCGCTCGCCACCACGGCGGACGTCTGCGCCGCGGTCGCCCTCCCGCGGCAGGCCAGGCGCGCGGCGTTCCCTCACAGAGCTCGTGGCGCGCGCCTCCGCATGCCTCCGGGCGCGCCCGGAGGAGTCAAGAGGGCCCCCCCTGACGGCGCAGCAGAGCAGCCCAGCGTCCAGCCCAGCTTGGGCCAGCTCGTCCCAGAGCAGCGGCGGGCGGGCTGCGCGCGAAGCGACGGGATCTGAGTATTCCACGGAGCTGTTACACGGGGAAGGCAAAATTTGGATCCTGAAGGGGCAGGCGATATCCTCAAGGGGCAAGCAATATCCTAATGGCTACGGGATCTGAGTGTCCTGAAGGGGCAGGCGATATCCTCAAGGGGCAGGCAGTATCCTAAAGGCTACGGGGTCCGAGTGTCCTGAAGGGGCAGGCGATATCCTCAAGGGGCAGGCAATATCCTAAAGGCTACGGGATCTGAGTGTCCTGAATGGGGCAGGCGATATCCTCAAGGGGCAGGCAGTATCCTAAAGGCTACGGGATCTGAGTGTCCTGAATGGGGCAGGCAACATATTTGCCTTGTTTCCCATCGGCTGTGGGCTACAGGCGTGCCCAGCAGGTGACTCCAGCCCTTCGGCTGCCGTGGCGGCAGGGTGCCCACTTGCACGCAGTGTAAGGCAGGCTCCGCTCGGCCTTGTGAGTTTGGTGCCTCACAGTGCGAGCATGTGGAGATAAGTTGGTAAAGGCAACCTGCTCCTGCTGCTCCTGCTACCGGTGATACTCCTTCCCCTCCTCTCCGCCTCGTCGTCCTCGTCCTTCCAAGCTTCTCCCCACTGTATAGTTTTCAACGAGAGCAAGGCCTTGAATACTTCTGGAGCGTAATTCGACAAGTCATCCTTGCAGGAGAGGCCGACACCAAATGACGTACTACATGTCCTGTGCATTTTCGCTTGGAAGCTGCGTATGCCATGTACCCCGCGATTGGGTCCAAGGGCCCAGAAGTGGCACACTTTTCCCAAGCTCCCCCACCCCCTTTCATCGATACTCCCTCGCTGCCTGGGATTCCAGAATGCCTCCTGGACAGTCCAAGGGGGTCTCAGGAGGACTCCAAGGGGTCCGAAACGAATTGCTGAGAAGCCGCAAGAGACACGTAAGAGCCCTCCAACAACCCAAGAGGACCTACGAGAGCCCGAAGGTGCCCCCCTGTATAGCCACAGAGCGCTCCTGTTTGAGGCTAGGGGGGGGCGAGTATCAGCCAAGCACTTGATGCGTTCCAACCTCCTGTGTTGGGTCCTCGTTGGCGTTTCGACCGCGTTGGCGCTCGCCCTCGCTGCTGGGAAAACAGTTCGGACCTTCACCTCTTATTTCCTCCCTTTCTGTGGCTCTAGCCTCTGCCTTTGTTTCTCTTTCTCGTTTTCTCCATCGCCCTTCTCCTGCGCCCCTGGTGGATTCAGCAGCACGCAGTGCCACGCCAACCCAGGAGAGACCCAGGCTTCCGCGGGGTGCCCGTCAGGTGCGCAACCGTCGCCCTCCACCTGCGCTGCGGGAGTGTCCAGCGGGGTGCGGTGCTGCGTGGACCAGGCGAGACCTCGGCAGTCCACTGGGTGCTGGTAGGCGCGCAGCTGCCTCCACTCTCCTGCGCACTCGCGGAGTCCAGCGGGGCTGCGCCCGTGGGGGTCAGCGGAGGGCGGTGCCACGCGTCCAGGGAGGAAAGACCACCCGGGCCGGACAATCGGCGTTTACTAAACGGCCCTGGCCGTTTGCTGAACAGCCCTGCCCTGTTGGATTCCTTCCCTGGGCGCGTTTACGAAACGACTTCGCGTGTCGGGGTGGTTATTCTCGGGGTGCATTTCCTGCCCTCTAACGCAGCCACAAGTGAAGCCTCGCGCTCCGCTGGGCGCCGAGGGGCCGTCAAGGGAGCCCACAGCGCGGTGGCGTCTTGGGCGGAAACCGGAGTGAGAGCACCGTCTTCTCGGGGTGCTGCCAGGCGCGCAGGCCGTCGCCGCTTTTTGCTGGGTCGCTGGGGGTTCCAGCGGAGATTCCCGAAGCAGGCACAGTGGAGATTCCCATGCCAAGAAACACCGTGCTTGCCTCCAGTATGCCCCGGGTTTCTTGGGTTTTTCGATGGTCTTGCCATGGAGAGCGTGACGCTCCCACACCAAGAGTCAATGGACGTCCTGGGGTCTCAGGGTTGGGTTTCTCGTGGGTGGTCTCGTGTGGTGGGGCCCCTCCTGTATCGTCCCCTGGCTGCTGCCAGGCGCGCAGCCGTCGCCGCTCTCCTGCGCCCCCCCCGGGGGCGTCCAGCGGAGCGGCGTCCTGGGCAGAGCCACAGGGGGGCCTGGCCCTCCGTTGGGTGCTGCGGTGCCCACGGCTGTCGCCACCTTCGCGCGGTCATCGGGGTCCAGCGGGACGCGGCTGTGCGCGGAACCCGCTGGGCCCTCGCCTCTCATTCGGCCTGGAGCACATCCCTGTGACTGGCATCACCCGGTCTCGATGCCGATCTTGCGGATCCCCCGGTTTCTGAGGGCGCACCCTGGAGGTTCTCGTCGCCTTTGGGCTTGCCAAGCTTAGGGGTGCTTACGGTTCTTTGTGCTCCAAGCCCCGGACGTGCTCAGATGTTTCGTTGGCTCGTGCCGCGCCGCCGGCCCTGCTGGGAGGCCCAGACGCCACTCTTCTGGTGGGCGTTGTCGTAGAAGCGCGTTGGCGCCGTGCGTCCACCCAGGAAGCCCTCCGCCGTACACACACGGGGTTTAGTTGCGTCATTTTGTGGCCTGTTGGGGGGCCTGCGGGGGGTTCTTTTGGGCCTCTTGGGTGCTTCTTGGGCCCTGCTGGGGATCTCTTCGGGGCCTGCTGGCAGTTGTGGTGGCCCTCTTGGGGCGCAGGGCTCCAAGTGTCAGCTCGAGTTCCCCCTCTTGGGGATCTTTGGGCCCCCTCAGGCGGTATCGGGCGCCTCTGGGGCCGTCTTGGGGCCTTCTCGGGCCGTCCTGGGGCCCTCTGGGGAGCTTTGCTGGCCGTCTTGTGGCTGTCTTTGGGGCCTCCGAGGCTTTCGTGAATGTTGTAAGGACAAGAAAAAATGGCGAGTATGCAAACATGCAAGTTTTCCTGGGATGGAAAATGGATGAGGGACAAGGGAGGGCGGCGGTGACGATGTTTGGCTCTTGGCGCCCTGCTGCGAGTCCTGGGGTATCTGAAGACCGTCTTGGGACGTTCTGGGCCCACTTGGGGCGACGTGGAGGCAATCTTGGGCCGTCTCGGAGCGGCTGGGGTCATTGCGGAGCTCTGAGCCCCTAGAGTCTAGGCATTCGTTACATGTCAAGGCGTTTTTTTATGGCAAGGCCTCGATTGTGTAGTGAGGCGCCGCGACATTGGTGAGGCGGTCTAGCCCCCTCCGTCTAGACAATTGGGGAAAACTGCGCCATCGGGGATGACCGTGGTTCGATCGATTCGGCGATGTGCGCTAATGTCTCCAAGTTGGTGCCGGTCGGTTCGATTGGGCCCCTCCGTGGACGGATCCCCTCTTCGACGGGTGGGTCTCGAGTCGACCGATTCGACTATGCAGACGATTCGGTAAACTTGGGTTTTGAAGCAGTTGTTTGTGCAGCCGTCACACCTGGTTCCAGAGACCTTTCTTGACACCTTGGCGCCATTGTTTTGAACTGTCCGAACGCACCCACACATGTCCAAACAGCTCCAAAAAACACCCGTGAGCCTCAGTACCTTCCGAAGCTTCTGATCCGCGATTGTGGGTAGCCATGGTGAGGTGGCCAACCCTGGAAACCTTGGGTGCCACGACTCTGACTTTTTCGTGGGTCCTTTCTCTTCGCCGGCTTCTACAGTCGGGGGGTCCCGCCAGCCGCCGTACATGTCACTGAGTTTCCGCCTAAGGCGACCGGCGTACCTTGCGATTGCTCGAAGGCGGGTGTTTTGGGAGCGCCTTACGCGTCGGAGGATCGGTCTGGACAGGATTGGCGTAAGTGGATAGTTGGCGTCCTCCTGAGGTGGTTTGGCGCAGCTGCAGGAGAGGATAACCACGAACCCTTCGCTTTTCAAGGCGCGGGCCGCACGCGGTTGTGTAATCGTTCTCAGCCGAACGTTTATGTGTGTCTTTTTTGTTGTTGTTGTTGATTTGTTTTGCGGTTTCTTGTCTGTGTTGTTGCGCGCGCTCTCTCTCTCTCTTTCTATACATGTACCGTTCTGACCTTATCGTTGGTTGTTGGTTTATTCTCTCTCTCTCTATACATCTGCCTGTCTCCGTCTGTATGTCTGCCTGTCCGTCGGTCTGTCTGTCCGTCCGTCCGTCCGTCTGTCCGTCTGTCCGTCTGTCAGTCTGTCTGTCTGTCTCCCTCTCTCTCTTTTCCCCCCTCGTGCCCCCTCCCCCGAGCGAGGATTGGGGAGGAGGGAGGGGGGGTGTTGGACGAGGGAGGAGGGAGTACGGGGGAAGGGAGGAGGGAGGAGAGGCTCCCTCCCCTCTCCACCTCCCGCGCCCCTTTACACTTACTCAATATGAAAATACTCTCCCTCTTCCCCTGATGGCGTCCGGGTGATGGCCGCGCACCCTCCGCGTACTGTTTTTTTACACACAGGATCCCCGGGAAATCCCGGGAAACGACTCTCGCTGAGGCGCCGGCGTCATTTTTTCCCAAAATGTTGCTCTCGTTGAGGCGCCGGCCTCATTTCTGCTCCCGAATCGTTCCGAATCGTGCTCCCGCTGCAGCGTGGGCCTCATTTTCGGATCGGTGTTTGGCCTCCGTCGTTCAGGATGGCGTTCTCGCCCCAGCGCGGGCCTTTTCTCGCGCGCCCATCCGCCCGCCACCACCGCGCCGCACCGCCACCACCACCACCACCACCACCACCACCACCACCACCACCACCACCACCACCACCACCACCACCACCACCACCACCACCACCACCACAACCACCACCAGCACCAGCACCAGCAACACCACCACCACCACCACCACCACCACCACCCACCACCACCACCACCACACCACCACCACCACCACCACCACACCACCACCACCACCACCACCACCACCACCACCACCACCACCACCACCACCACCACCACCACCACCACCACCACCACCACCACAACAACCACGCACACACGCACGCACGCACGCACGTGCACCACCACCCACTACGCAC